GCAACCTATTTTATCGCTAAAAGACATACTGTAATGTAAATTTATTTTTAATTGTATATGAATTCAATATTGAAACTGAGCTAAATGAATAAATGAATATCTAAACTTCTTAGTTTAATAGTCCAAAGATGTGTAGGAGGTCAAGAGAGGAAAAGTGAATACATTCTTCACTGATGTAATTTGTGCTTCACTGTACCCCGCTCCACAATTTATTCCTTTATTAACTTCCAAATTTAACAAAATTGAACTGTAGAAACGTGTGTAATTTTTTGGACAATTAACCATGTATGATGCTTAAGGTCTTGTTCACTGCTTAAACTTGTATGCTGTTTATAAATGACGCGACGCTCTCACAGAAACGATAAAAAACTGGTAGAACTTGACTGCAAGGACTCTGAAAAGGATTACGCATGAACGTTTCTACAAAAATGATAAAATCAAAAAATATGCAGGAATCAAACGCACATCTGTAGTAACGTAAATGATAGTAATTTGGAAGTACACAAGTGTTGTGAAACAGTCTTTGGATAGTACTGCTACAGCCCCTGAAAGGTTTAAACATCAGTTCATCTTTCTGCGAAGATCTCTTATCATTAATATCCCACCAAAGGAGACGGGAATTCATTTGTTTTTCACGCTATATTGTAAAATGTTTGTTTCTAAGGTGTTCGTCAATCTGTATATTTTGGGATGTAAGAGTATCAGCGACTTGCCTTAATATTTTCGCGAACTTTACCTAAGACGTTAATTTCCTCAGAATGGATAACGATTCACTTGTATTCACGTTCTAATGATTTTTGAAAGGTATGTACCAAAAACCGTACTTCGACATTTTGACCATGCTATCTGAATTGAGGCGCTGGGGATGATAACGGTAGGTTCTTCCTGACCTCGTATCTTCAGTTAGAAGTATGTCGATAAACTCGCTGATAAACTGCCGTATACTTTTAGTATTATGAAATATAAAATTAAATTGGATCTAGCAAAACCATCTAATTCTACCTTCGAAAATTTGTCCGGAGTGAAAGTGATCGTGAACGAAAAGTCGTTTTTCTCAAAACTAACTTCGGTTGGGGATCTGCCGTCATTAGTGAGTCCCAATTGTGTGATGAATCATAGCGGGGGTATTTCGCTCAGAGTAAATTTAAGGTCTCTTTCCACGCAAGACAACGCAGGCTCTTATCGCAGTGGCCTCCCGCGCTCCTCCCGCGAAGCGTTCCCTTGGAAAGTACGTCTCTCAAATGTAGACGCCTCCATAAATACAATACTACTCGAGGACTTCGAAACTAAAACAGTAACTGCTGGACAAAAATTGGGTGCACTTCTCTGCATAAAAAATGTCGATAACGTACATATTGTCAGTTATATACATTTTATTACCACCTACATACTACTCCTCGTCAAAAGATAGACGATATGTTCCTACAATTTAAAAGTAGTAGTAAGATCAACAATAAATTGAGTCTTTCCCTACGTATCTTCTATTTGATCTCTCAAAGAATTTTAAAACTTTCATATAATATTTTACTGCATAGTTTCGTGAAAAAAACTGTTGTAAAATGTAAGAAACGAAAATATTTAAAATCGGCTGCTGATGAGTCCTGCCCGTCAGGGTAGCTAGACTTTGCTAACAAAAAACGGAAGATGACAAAATGATTATTTAGCTAATTAACGTAATATAACAAAATAATAATGGAATAAAATATAATAAAATAATGTAATAACGTTATATAATATAATAAAATGTGTGATAGCATGCTGATTAAGGCATTGGGAAATTGGTCACCTTTGAGGGAACATATTGCGATGCAGTAGAAGGGTAGAGTACAGTAACTTGATAAATGCCAATGGTTTTAACACCAGTAATGCTAGTTTCCCTCAAGAAATTCTGTCAATGTAACACCTAAAACAAATTACTCTCGTGTCAGCACTTTCTACCATCTGTGCGTACACATCCCATTTCTATGCGAATGTTGGGAGTGTGAATCCATACACTAAGGAAATTAAATCGTTACATCTTGCATCTACACATACCTCGCATCACGTTACCCTGGCATTGTGATCTCCTCCTGTGAGGACTTCCCCTCTCCCTCTGCTACAAAGCACATTGTACGCTGGTTTAGAGTCTTTTGTGAGATTCGTGTAAATACGATCTTAACGAGATATAGGGAACGTGTGGCTTTCAACGTACTCCGACCGTGGGTTGGTTTCCATTGTGCACATGGAATTCACTAGTGCCCGCCCCCCGGAATTTATAAGGAGGGGTGTCAAAAACCACATGGGTTTTCATGAAACGAAGAATAAAATTTAAACTATTTTTTTTCTGTTGGTATTGATTATACAACGATGCAATTGGTATGCGTTTTGTTTTTTTCGTGTACAGGCCAACTCGGACCACGCGTGGATCCTGCTTCAGCAGGTCCAATACCTTTATCTGGGGAGGGAGAGTCAGCATTTTAGCAGAGTCCCGATTTTTATCCCCCAAGGTTGTTATCCTTAGAGATTTGGACGACGAGGATGATAACGATTGTGAAGAATGAGAGAACGGTACACAGGCATAGACATGCACAAATACTCCCATGCCAGAGGCGGGACTCGAACCCGTGGTGGTCTGGTCAGAGACCGCTACGAGACTACTGCCATAACGATCTCGGTCACCTTGACCGGCAATTGATATATTCATTTTTTCTGAATTTTAAGTCCATTTATAATCGTTATAAAGTGTACTACAATCGGAGCGTATTCATATGTAGGGCCTAACTACAACACGGCGTAGGATTCGAAGTGGCGAATTTAATGGAGTGAATAAAATTAATTTACGTACAGACATTTGTAATAAGGAAATAATATAATTCACATATTTTGCTTTACGTAATAGCTTATTTGCAGTAAGTCATAATTCGCACCACTGAACGAATTGCCTTCGATTCACCTAAGTTATACTTTGTTGCGGAATTGTAACGAAGTAATGATTAAGCATAACAAATATAATAAATAAATCATTAGACATTATAAATGCATGAAAATGCACCAAACTACTACATACATTACATGTTATTAGAATGTTGGCAGTTATTCTGCCAGATAACGACATGTGGATAGTTTGATCCCTTTCAAAAGGGTTTTATATTATTAATAAGGTGATAAAACTACAGCGAGAAATGACAAAATGAAAGGAATATAGAAGACTGTGATTGTCAAAATCCAATGATTAGTTTCATTATCTTCCAGATTTTTTTATTAAACATATACATTTTTTTCCGATCTATATATCAATACCAATTAGTATTTGAAAACGGTAGCTTTTGATTTTTCTCATAGATGTGTGGTTGGAATGCAAAAGGATGAATAAGAAACTCAGAAATAATATGGTAGGAGGCGTAATAGGTATTTAATACGCTAAGATTAAATGCAAAGTACAAATCTTTACGTTAGTTTTTTAAATAGCCGCTAATCTCAACATGCTTGTACCGTCGTCACACAAATTTGCAAAACTATTTGCTTAGTTAAGTCTCTCGTCTCTGCAAACACATTAGCACAAACAATTATATTTCTATATCGGAAGTGATTTTTTTATCTACCAAAGACCATGTTTTGGGGCGAAAAAAGTAAGGCAGTTCCAGATGTCTGGTTCCCAAATGTACTCCGTGAGCTATATTATTTCTCACACACCTTTTCTCTAAGTGGTCGTAAATGGTAACGTTTTGACGATCTGCGGACGACCGTGGTTCATTAGCACCCAGTTAACACTCGTTTTACGATTGTTTACTCGAAACAACTTCAATGACGGTGTTTTTATTTGCTTGATGCTGCTGAGACCGCTCGACACGTGGCAAATATCTCGGAGGTCATACAGCACTCTGCAATGAATTCACACAGTCAGACGATGCTGTGATTATTGGTGCTTGATCTTTGATCAACGTAGGAGTGGCGCCCTTTTCTAAAACATTAATCACGAGGTAAGTTACAGAACGTATTATTCCTGAACTAAATCAACGCGTTTAATTTGTGAATACCACCAGTTCACGCATAGAGTACGAACATAATTTCGTCTAGTTGTAAGCGAATAATTATTTCAGAATGGAGCGGTTAACAAACTTGGCTTCATTTCAGACGTTGCATAGTAGGCAATTGATCCGTGTGGAAAACTGGGATACAGGTCAGCATGCTGCTGGCGGTTACGTAGGGTGGCGTCGAAGATAAATTTGCCAGTTTCAATTGATTTTGTAATTTTTGTTGGCTGCAAATATTTTATAAAAAATAATTTTTCATATGCACAATTGCGTGTTCAGTTATCATTGTTAAAAACTGTTCTTGCAGAAGGATTTGAATACCAATGCTTGGAAATTTGCCACGCACTGTATCTTTGTTTGCTGTTTTTCAAAAAATATTCTGTGGATTATGATGGACACGCATGTCGCTCTTATTAATTTACAACGTAGCAGCCACCCGTGGTATTAAGACTCCAGCATGACGTGCTCCAACTCGTGTGAATTTCTCAATCAACTGATAAACATAAAACGTGCTTTGGACATGCTCAGATAAACTTCAAAGCAATCCTGGTATAACAAGAGGCGGCATAACCTCAATTTTCGTAAAAAAAATATTTTAAAAAACGCAGGCCTGGATGACCGAGATGGCTAAGAACGTGTTCAGACCTAGCGTTTGGGTTATAAGGGTCACGGGTTCGAGTCCCGCCGAGGGCATAGTTGTTGGTCCCTCGTCTCTTATGTAAGTGTTCGTATGTATTGTATTCGAGTGATGTTCGTATGTATTGTCGCGGAGGATCTAATGTTCTGCTGACTTCCACATCAGAGGAGTGCGCAAGTGTTGTCTGGTGGAATATGAGCTCCATCGTAAAGGGTGACCGGCTGTTGGCTGGGAAACGCCCTCGGGAGAAAAGCTTAAAGAACCTGCCGCCAGCGTTAGGCCTGACGGATTCCGTTCTAAAGGCTGCGGGGAGGCGTTCGGAGGCGAGACGGGCGTGTGCCTGCCCGCAGGAGCCGAGGGGATGGAGGCGGCGGCGGCGTGGGTGCTGGCGACGGCGTGGGCGGCGGGCAAAGCGCTGCTGCGTTTGGCGGACGGCGTGCTGGCGGCGGTGGTCGGGGCGTCCGTCCTCGAGTTGCTGGCGGTGCCTGCGCTGACGCTGGCCTCCGTCGTGGTGGTGGCCGAGGCGCTGGCGGTGTTGACGACGGTGGTGGTGACCCTGGGCGCGCTGGCGGGGACGGCGGTGCTGGTGTTGGCGGTGATCGCGTCCATGAGCACGGCCATGAGCGTGGGGTTGGTGGTGTGGGGGGTGTTCATGGCGG